TAAATTATCTGATGCTTCACTAAGATCACAATTTTGGTTTTACGACGATTTCCCAATTGTTACGATATTTTGCTCATACATGTCATTTCGATCTGGCAATGTCTGTTGCTGCATCACCAAGGAAAGCCCTTCAGGCAAGGCTACTCCCGAGACACCATAAATCTCGCTTTTCCCCTGTCTCACGTTTAATGCAAACTAAAAGTTGTCTGAAGACAGTTTACGAAACCTACTTTTTTATCATGTTTTATTTGTTTCGTTTGCAATATTGCGCTTTCGTGTAATTGTTTAATTCTGCTGTTGACTGGTTTTCAATGTAGCTTGCTCTCGTTTTCTTTTAACCTCATATTTAATCTGTGCTTTGACTCATTATGACTTCTCTTTACACTGTTTGTGCCCGCATTTTTTGGGGTTTCTGTGGTTTCCGTGTCACTCAACTCCCTTTTACACTACTCTTCTGTATGTCCATTCCTTCAACCATGCGACACCTGCGCATTTTCACATGAAAATTACCACACTGCTATCCTTATAGCCGAGAGCCTGATGGTAACCAACTTTTGAAGTGAAGTTGATTGTTTAATTCGTGAATAGCAATGCTCTCTCTCGCTTAAATTCTAGAAAGGGGACTCGGGCCTAAGGTGATCTTTTTAGATATCACTTTTGCTCTCGCTCATCCTTTTTTTTGTTTTCTTTCTTGGAAATGTTTTCCTCATTATCTTTGGGTTGACTTTTATTAACATTCCGCTCGATTGGCTCTTTATTATGTCCTTCCTGCGATTTCGAACCTCTTCTTAGCTCTACTTCCCTTTGGAATAGCGATGAGATTCGGGCAAAATCGTTTCTATGGCGTTCTTTTGCAAAATAAAATAATGTCTTTTGCATTTTCTTTTATGAGTGGGTTTTCGAGATTACCAATAGTTCGTGTATACGAGATGTATTTACCCTACGTCGTCAAGGTGATGAAAGACTGCTGCTAGTTGAATTTTCTCACAATTACATGAGCCGACCTCACGTTTCAATTGAATTTTACATTATCCTGCTCTACAAAAAGGTATTGTCATCCAGATTGGAACGGGCTGCATTTTCCGCCTCACATTAACTCGTCTCACCAACACCCTTCAACGGTACTCGAACTCAACTGAATGGCCCCTCCTTAAGTGCAGACTGAAACCAAAAGTAAAAAAATGGAACTAATCACATCGATAGACATGACCAGCTATAGAATAATTTAGCCAGTTCCTCTTCATATCAATCACTGTCCTCGCATACAAACTGTCTCGAATTGTATTTGTATATTTGTGTGTGTGTGCTCGCATGTGTGTAAGACGAAATACGTCAGCATTTGTGATCATTCTGAGTTAATTAGAATAGAGTATATCATCACCGACAATAGCAAATACAGGTTATACTTTGAGTATAAGAATGAAGGCACATGTTTTATATAATGGTTGATTGTTTCATCATTTTTTTGCCATGTTGTTTTTTCGTACCGCTTTTCTCCCATTCTTGTGATACCCTTTTTCACGTTATGGTTCGCTTTTTGGCTTTCTTTTCATCTTTGGCAACCATCTTCCTGCTGGTCTTGTTCATGTTACCATGAAAATTCCACTGCACATCCTTTACTGTGAACCCTGTTGCCGACTCGTTTTTTTAACATGATGGATCTCATATCGACAATGCCTATAACTTCTGTATTGACCTTTTTCTTGACCAAGCGGTCACACTCGTGCCCGATCTCGCTGTCTCTCCCGTCGCTACCTCTCGTGTTCTTCTCGTGTACGCGGCTGCGTAGGTCAACAGGCCAACCTCATCTCAGTCGGCAACGTCGGTAGTTTGCTCGAGGCGAGCGCTCGCCAAAGGTATGCTCGGCGTCCGGATTCTAATGTCATTTGGCCAGTTTCACTCCGGACCGTGTGTCGGCTTTTGTTGCATCTCTGATTTTTTGCTTCCTTTTGCCGAATCTCTGCTGACTGTCATGTGGCCACAAATCCCCGGTTCCAAGGTGTCTCCTGTATCCTGTCGTCATTTACACGATAGAAGGTATAAAATACTGGTCAAATCACAGTATAATGGGTGTCACAATGAAAAAATTCGAGAATAATGAAAATTTTACTGCTGGTCGTGATAAAATTTGTTGTTGTTTTTAATTGCTGAATAGGTTTTCTAGACTACCTTTAGATCAGATATATGAATTGTGTTTACCCTATTTCGTTTAAAGTGACGAAGGACTGGTAGTTGAATTTCACATAACTTTTACTTCCCAAAAGGTTTTTCATACAGGCTGAAGTGGACTGCTGTTTCGATCTCGCCTGGGTCTTATCAATAACCCAGCTGAAGTCGAACCATAAAAATGTAGCGAGTAATCTCCACACGTTTACCATTACGCCACAGGGCAGATGTAAATTTAAAAGAGTCAGACATTTTTTCCACTTAATATATTCTCTAGTCGGGTTGTTGCAATTGATGACACCACTTTTGTATGATTTACTTTTAGTCTTGAAAATCTACTTAAAAATGTGAAAAAGTAATTGAAGTGAGTCGGCCTTGGTATTGTTGTCCGGCAGACTTGGTAG